TAAAAAATTAATTAAATTTTATTTATGAAATAATTAATTAAATATATTAATGTTTCAATTCTATATTATGTGGTCACAAATTATCAAATTAATTAGTAACAAATTATTTATCGATTATGAATAAAAAATTTATAGGTTACAATTTATTCATCGATCACAAATCAAAAAATTTATAAGTCATAATTTATTTATTGATCATAAATCATGAATTTTATAAATCACGACTCAAAATTTTAGGTTACACACCCCACCCCACCCCACCCCACCCCACACAACCCAACCCAACCCACAACCACTTACCACTGCCATGATGACCACCATTCCGTTGACCACTACCAACATCAACAGTATCGTCAACATCACCACTACCTCATCATCGTAGCCAACACCAACAGTATCGTCAACATCACCACTACTTGATTTTACTATTGGTTATCACTTACTCACCGAAAAATAAATGGCTACTGAATGGTCACTCAACTATTCATTAATTTACTTGTCCATCACTGGGATGAATTCTATCTGTACAGCTAGACAATAAATTACACGTGGAAATAATGTGGCTGATGAATCATTTCCACGTCATCTAAATCACTGGATCTTTAGAATCATCTAGAGATATAGCCGTGCTGAATCGTCTTCCCACTGTCCTCCATTTGCAAGATGGTAAAACAAATCAAATCCATCCCATATAAACACTTGCGGATGGTGTAAAGCTACGATTCCTTCATTTTTCTTCCAACAATTTCATTCTTGAACCATGTCCTCTGAATGCTTAAATTTCCCCATGAATTTTTTAAAGAAAAGCCCACAAAAATTGACTTGATGCAAGCGAAATCCCACATTCACTGTGGGATTTACACAATAATCTCTTATTTGATAGGACGGAAATTTAATTCAATTGAAACCATTTCAGATTTTGTTGTTAATTTATCCGAAATCTTGGATAATTCACGTGTCATTCGCTCCATGCCATTTCCATGGAAGAAAATGAGGAGCATCATAATTTTTTCGATTGGTGAACGAGCATTTGAGGAACTCCTCGTAGATCTTTTCATCAAGAATCACGAAACAGGGAAAAAATCATCCAAGAAAAATAACAATTTAGATGGCGTGGAAATGATTCATCGGCCACATCATTTTTATCTCCACGTGTGATTTTTTGTCTAACTGTGCAAACAAAATTGGCCCTAGTGATGGATGAGTAAATTAATGAATAATTGAGTGAGTGTTCACTAACCATTTATTTTTTGATGAGGAAGTAGTAACCAATAGTAAAATTTAGTGATCACTCATTTAATTAACTCAAGTTAATTAGCATATTTTATTCCTAATGATAGTTTCTGTCCAAAAGTTCCATAAGAAAGCCATAAAAACACTTATTTGCTCTTCAAACAAGAAAAATTAACAAATGCAGAAGTTTAATTAAGAATTGTCCTTCGTTTCAAAGTATGCTAATAGAATATTTGGACAAAAATAATTATCAAAGACAAGATATACCAACTAATTGAAGACTAAAAAAATTAAAATACGACAAAAAATATGGACATACATAACTATTAACAAAAGTTAGGGACCTTCTTTACAATTAAAATCTAACACACCAGGCAAAAATTATTGTGCAACATAATCACCATTGTGTTTCATTAATGAATATTGATATTTTTCTATGTAGCGGCATATAAAAAAAATTTCAACGTTTCTTTGTTAAAATTTATCATATTCGTACACTTGATGTTTAATCAAATAATAATATTATAATTCATGAAAATAAAATTTAGCTAATAAACGTATGTAGACATATTTTAATTTCACCCTTTTATCTTATAGTCGAGTTGAATATTACATGCTTACAATGAAAATGATAATTATATGAAGTATTGAGAGTGATCTTGTTGACAAAATAGATTTAGATTAAACAATAGATGAATTTTATTTCATAAGATATTGCCAGACAAGATCTTAATAGGTAATTTCATATTTTGTATTTAATTATTGACTATGATAGATTGATAGGTAATACACTTTTAAACATTTTAGTTCAACCTAAAATCTAATTTTACACACGAAGGAAACTACTATCAATCATAGATGATGACTTCAATATCATGTAAAAAACGAGACGCGTTACTTAAAAAGATACTTTATTTATAGACTATAGATAATTATATCAAAAAATCAATAATAATTACGCATTCAAACTAATATAAATAAAATTACTAAGGGTCCGTTTGATTGTAAAGATGGAATTTGGGTGGAAAAAAACGAATTCTAGGGAATTGAATTATCTAGAAATTATTTTCTTGGGAATTGTAAATTATTGTGTTTGATTGGTATAATTTTTCACGTGAAAAATGTTGAAATAAAAGTATTTTTTGGTATTCGTTTGACTTTGTTTTACATAAAAATTGTCAACTAAAGGGATTTGATTTACTGGTATTGTGGATGAAATTTATTTCTATTGCCAAAAAAAAAATTTCAAGAAAATTATCTATCTTTTAGTGTTCATTTGGGTTTGTTTTACATAAAAATTGTCAATTAAAAAGAAATATTTTTTTACAATAATTCTTAAAATTTATTTTCATTGCCAAATAAAAAAAAAATAACAGTAACCAGGAAAATCAATTCCCACCACACAAAAGCAAGAAAAATGCAATTTCCAATAAATCCAAGAATTCATATTCCACGGAAAATAAATTCCAATCAAACACGCCAAAGTAGGAAAATGGTATCCAAATTCCATTTTCCATGAAACTAAATTGCTAATCAAACGGTGTCTAAGATAAATCATATAAAAATAAATATATTTCCACATCTAGCATAAACATGACTAGATATATATGAGATTTTGAGTGTCATATGAAATTCAAAATAGTGTTCCTCGTCCATTTATTAATAATTTTTTTTTTTCCACGGAAAATAAATTCCAATCAAACACGCCAAAGTAGGAAAATGGTATCCAAATTCCATTTTCCATGAAACTAAATTGCTAATCAAACGGTGTCTAAGATAAATCATATAAAAATAAATATATTTCCACATCTAGCATAAACATGACTAGATATATATGAGATTTTGAGTGTCATATGAAATTCAAAATAGTGTTCCTCGTCCATTTATTAATAATTTTTTTTTCCAATTTCCTATTTGTTATAAAACCTTTACCAGGAAGAAGCAAATAATTTGAAAAAGTTAAAATTATTAATTTTTTTTTCACAACACTATGTCAAGTTCAAAAAAATCAATATAATATTTATAATTTTTGTGCCCTTTCCCCTTAATATTGTACCCTCTAACTTGACAAAAATCTTTAAATTAAAATTATAAAAGCATTTATAATTAATTATATCTGTAGCGTCCTAAAATTAAGGACGCCGGAGAATGTGGTCCACATCCTCATCCTCACCCTACATAAGTGAAGATGAGGCGTGGGAATCACGGTAGTGCGAAGACGGAGAAAGGGGTACACACCTTTAGTGATGACAAAAAAACGCGTTCCACCTTGTCCCGAATGCGGCAAAAAAACCCACCCCAACAAACCTGCCCGTGAAGAGAAAAAATAATAAAAATAATTTTATTTCCAGACAATTCATCAGTTAAAACTCATTTTGAATTTATATTTTAATCTATAATAATAGCATAAATCGAAATTTTAAAAATGAAAAAAAATAAAAAATTAAACGGGGTAAAAAGTTGCCCCACTCCGCCTCGCTCCGTCTAAGACGGCCCTGTTGCCACCCCTACCCACCTCATTGTCATTCATATGTCAAACGCATGGGGTGTGATGTTTCACTCAGTGTCCGTTTGATTGTAAAGATGGAATTGAATTGAACTGAAAACGAATTTCAGGAAATTGAATTGTCTAGAAATTATTTTCCTGGGAATTGTAAATTATTGTGTTTGATTGGTATAATTTTTCATATGAAAAATGTGGAAATAAAAGTATTTTTTGATTTCGTTTGGCTTTGTTTTACAAAAAAAATTGTCAATTAAAGGGATATAATTTACTGGTATTGGGTATGAAATTTGTTTCCATTGCAAAAAAAAAAAAAAAATTAAAAAAAATCTATCTTTTGTTGTTCGTTTGTCTTTGTTTTACATGAAAATTGTCAGTTAAAGGGAAATATTTTTTTTACAATAATTCTTAGAATTTATTTCCATTACCAAAAAAAAAAAGTCCAAGTAGGGTGAAGGAAAACCAAGAAAAGAACAAGTTCTAAGACAATCAAGAAAATGAATTCCATGGAAAAAGTATGCTATCAAACACTACAATTTGGGTGAAAATGGAATTTCCATTTTCCATGGAATTGACCCTATCAAACACACCCTTAAAGTCACAAGAGATATGCAAAGTATAGCATAAATTTTTTCGGAACAACATTATTGGTACAAATTTTTTTTTTTTATAGAACTCATATAGATCAACACTAGGCAAATTATCATTGGAAGATAACAAAAATACAAAAGAAAAACAACCATATAGGTGCAGATTCTATATTTTTTCTTGTACTTATAGAATTATTCATCAATTTTTTGTCCTTTAACCACCAATCTATTAAATTGGTAATTGGAGGTTAGCGTTCTCTTTGCCTCTTCTTCCACCTCATACACTTTCACTTTTGAAATTGAATAGCAGGGATAGAGTAGCCAAAGGGTACTTGTTTTGACAGGGACGTCCTTGTAAAGTAGTGTAGAAACTTCTTGTGGACCAATTCAACGAAAGAAAATAAAAATGGGGGACCAGTTTACCGACAGAAAATAAAAAACAACAAGTGTCAAAAACTATTTTGAATGACCTTTGCACACTAAAAATTTCAAATGTGAGAATATAATTTTATAAATAAATCAAGAAAAGCTTCAAGAAACTATACATCTTGTCAAACAATTAACCTTATACAGCAATTAAAGATTTAAGGAATTCTGTTTTTCACAAGATAATATGGAACTCACATATCAAGTCGATCATATATATGGATTGGAACTAATATAATTCTTGATCTCTATGTCAATTCAACTACAGCTTCACTTGAATGACTAGTTTCTTCCCCAATTTGAGGTGCATTAGCTCTTGTTCTACAGATTGGACAAGCAGCAGTTTTCAAAAGCCAAGAATCTATGCATTGGACATGAAAACTGTGATGGCAAACAGGCAGCATCCTACACTTTTCACCTCCCTTGAAATTCTCCAAGCACACGACACATTCTGCTGGACTATTCCCTTTCTCCTCCACCTCGTAGTCGAAACACGGCAGCTGTTTTATTTCATCGGTCGACAAGCCCGGGATTCGACTGATTCGACTGGGAACAGAATTCCGACCATTGAAGTAGTTCCCCCTGAAAGCCCTCCCAACAATACAAACATGAATCACGATCAGAATTGCTATACCTATAAATAATAGAAGTACAGAGATGATAATTTGCATGGACATGGCCTGTGCTTGAGGATCATGTGATTTGAGTGGAAGACTGAAATTCTATCTACAGAAGTTCTTTTCTCGGTGAGGAACTTGGTGGATTAACAGAAACTGAAAATGGCAATGGGCTTCAAGTGGGCTAATTAAATACTAGGAGTCACTATACTTTTAGAAAAATTTTACTTTAGTCACTAAACTTTATTTTGTTCTAGATCGGTCATTGAACTTAAACATTATTTCAAATTGGTCGTTCTATCCATATCTGTTAATTTAAGTAACTCAAATGGTACACGTCCATCTAGTTCCTTGTCTAGTAAATTACTTGGTCAACTTTTTCATTAGTCTGACTAATGGACACACGAGTGCACTCGTGCCATATAAACAAGGCTTTGTCCCCTTAAGAAATCCTTTTCCGAAAGGAAATACATTGATTAAATTAAAACAAATATTCTAGTTCTATAATCAATTTATTATAAAATGAAATTTAACGATCATCTGAAATTGCACTGGAAGTTCGGTGATGTAATTTTAACACTGCACATAGATTTGGATTCTTGTGCAAAATTCCGAAAGCATCCTAAGTTGAAGAAGACTAATTATGTTAAAAAAAGTCATAAAAGAAATTAATTTATATTTCGAATCTCCCAGTCAACCTGCCATAATATTTTAAATTGCATCCATCAGTGGTTAAAACATTAATTGGTGATTGGTTGCAATTTTGAGCAAAGTCTTGATTAGAAAGTTCAGGGAAAATTCAGATTTGGACAAAGTTTTGATAAGAGTTGAGTATGCTGTTTGCATTGTATTAATGATATATGAATAATACTATTCATAGTCAAGACTTTCGATAGTCGTCATACATGATGTACACATAACAGTTTATTATTTGATACACATTAATACGGCAGTTTTTTATTGCCTCATACATTAAATACCAAACTGTAATGTGTACGACGTATGGCGACTATCGGTAATTTTAGCTATGAGTAACATTATTCATAATTTATGGGTGGAGTCTATATGATTATGGACCTGCCTATGCTTGTGTTTTTTGGCATCAAGAATGTTATCTTCTGGTTTTAGATTTGAAGACTAGCCATTTAGTCTGATAGGAATTGAAAGAAGTACATAAGATGAGATGTTTTGGCTCTCTCTATCGAGTTATGAAGGAGTATATCTGACACCTTCGATAAAAGATTTTCAATATATCAAGCTAGTTAAATAATCAATTATCCGATGAAATTGAACGAAGGTGGATTCACTCACCCTCGCACACAACATTAACGGTGGACATTACTTGAACCAAATAGAATTGGTCGATTCGACTTCGATTCCTCTACTAAATGGATCATTTTTGAGACAATGCATTGAGAACTGATCAATTTTGATCCGGGTTCTAGGTGGCATCTTGAGAACCTGTGAATTCGATTATTTTGAATTTCTCTTTTTGTTGATACATTTGTACCAAGATGCACCAGATCTTTGAAAATTAGATTTCAAAATCATCCCACTCCAAAATTTCAGTTTTCCATACACTTTTTCTTCTTTCTTCTGCTAGAAAACATAATGTGTAATCAAAATCAAAATTTAAATAACCTCATAAAGTAATGCATATATACACACACACACACACACACACACACACACACATATATATATAATTTGATTATCTTTAATAATCCTCAAGATCTTACTTTTTGATGGCCGGCCATTTGAAAACAGCAAGAAATTTGAGCTCTAAATATATATTATTGCATGAATTTTCTTAAGAATTAATATTCGACACAAATTTTACCATTTATGATATGTCTAACAGTTTATTTTTATTTTTTGAATTTGTGAGTTAATCTTGAATTTTGGAGTAATTTTTAGTTCGTTGTTTAGTTTAATTAATTTCTTTTGTATTGTTAGATTACAAAAATGAAAAGTGATTTCATAGTCTATTTTTGTCAATTTTCAATTTGACAAATAGTTTTAAACTTTATCTTTATAATTTTTCAATATAAAGAATCCAATCGGACCGAATCGAAATCTGTTGGTTCGATTTTGATTCGGTTCTATAATTGAATATGGAACTAATGGTACCGTGTCTAAGATTTTTATTAGTACTAATTCGATTTGGTTCCCTTTTGAGTTGGATTTAAACAGACTGTGTCCAA